GTCCCCTACTCTCACCCCGGGTGCTCGGGGCCTCCTGGGATCCCTGTGACTTCCCAGAACGCTGCACTTCACACCTACTTTGCCAGTTCCCTCTCACCAAGCTGTGGGAGAGGTGTTTCTTTCTTTTTTCTTTTTGAAACAGGGTCTTGCTGTGTAGCCAGGCTGACCTTGAACTCACAGCAATCCTCCTGCTTCAGCCTCCCGTTTTGGGATTACAGGTGTGCAGAGCTCCTCTTCTGCCTAGTGGTCAGGCAGTCCGAGCTACACGGGAGGCTGAAGTGGGAGGATCACCCAAGCCCACAGCTTAAGACCAGCCTAAGCATATGGTAAGCCCCTCTCTCCACTCATTACCCCGCGAGACTGGCCCGGTAGATTAGGACTTCTCTCCAAGGGCTCTTCCATTCCAGAGTGGCCTGGCCTTTTAGGACCCAGCTGGCTGGCCCCATCAGAATAAAACCAACCTCTGTTGAGAAACATACATACTATACAAAGAGAATAAGCCACGTATTTGCTGAACAAATGTTTACAGAATGCGTACTAGGTGCCAGCCGAGTAACTGATGCTCAAAAGCACTTGTTCTTATGTTCCACCACCTGCCTCGCAAGCACAAGGTACTAAGTTCAATCCCCAGTACCAAAAAAAAGAAAGAAAAAAAGCACTTGTTCTTAGCTGGGCGTGGCGGTGCACACCTGAAATGTTAGCAGTTCTGGGAAGCCGAGGCAGGAGGATCCTGTTTGAGCCCAGTCTATGCAATTTAATAATTTAACAAGGCCCTGTCTTAAAATAAAACAAGGACTGGGGATGTAGTTTAGTGCAGGACCCTGGGTTCAATCCCTAGTACACTGGAAGAAAAAAAAAAAGCAGCATAGGGCATAGTGGCACATGCTTGTAGGCCCAACACTCAGGAGGCTGAGGCAGGAGGATCTCACTTTGAGTTTGAGGCCAGCCTGGGCTACACAGTGGGACCCTGTCTCATAAATAAATAAATAAATAACAAATTTTTAAAAATAAAGCATTGAGCTGGGCATGGTGGCACATGCCTGTAATCCCAGCACTCAGAAGGCTGAGGCAGGAGGATAGCCATGAGTTCAAAGCCAGCCCTGTCTCAAATAAATAAAGCATTAATTCTTTTTTTTTTGTTGTTTGGTTTTGGTTTTTTTTGTTTGTTTTTTAGTACTGGAGATCGAACTTGGGTCCTTGGGCTTGCAAGGCAGGGCAGAACCACTGAGCTAAATCCCCGGCCCTAAAGCATTAATTCTTAAACACTCCATTGGCCAAGGGGGTCACTCAGCTCACTTGGATTCCCTATGGCTATAGAAAAAGGGAACTTGCTCCCTTCCTAGGGATGTGTCTCAGAGAAAGCCCACCTGTGGCCACGCTTCTGTCCCCTGGCAGAGATGGGACACACAGACTCCAGGTGCTCCGTGCAGCCCAGACATTGGCATAGGTGGACAGGCCCAGGGAGCCCTTGAGGGCAATCAGAGGAGCTCGGGCATCAGCACAGGCTTCCTAGAGAGCTGGGAGGGGAATTTTTCTCCCAGGACAGCGCCAGGTGGAAGTGAGGGAGCCAGTTTGGCAGAAAGGAGGTGAAGCCAAGTTCCAGGCAGGGATGGGGCTGGGGCAGGGAGAGCCAGCCAGCTGGGTGGAGCCCACTGTCCTGTCCACCATCCAGTCACAAGATCTGCAGCTGAGCTGGGCAGGGCTGGGGTGAGGCCGGAGCTCGCCGGGATTGTTCCCACAGATGCCTGGCTGGTCATCCTGGTGCAGGCCCATTCCAGGGCTGGAGCCCGGAGCGGGTCTGGGGAGAGAGCGCCCAGCCAAGGGGGACTGAGATGGAAGCCTTCCCGGCTGCTGGGACACGCTAGGTCCGGGTGACAGCCGAGGAGAAGGGGGTGAGCGTCCGCTTCAGAGTCTTCTTGAGCCGGAGGGGCACCTTCTCCACCTCCCCCGAGTCCAGGACACAGCTTGAAACTGGACTCAAAAAAATCCACCTTCCTGCGCCTCCCAGCCTTGGGTGGTCACTTGACCTGTCCCGAACTCATTTTTCTTCTTACTGTGAATGGAGACAGTAACACGCGCCTTCCACGTGATCCTGAACAGTAAAGTACACAATTTCAGCAACACCTCTTGACCAAAGTCGGTTTGTAATAAGGGTCAGCTCCCCTTCTCTCCTCCTCCTCACTGCTCCAACGCCCTGTACCCTTGGCTAGGGCTGCAGAACCCCGGCAGTCTCCACGCCCAGGCTGCCGAGGTTCCCTGTCCCCCAGCCTGGCGACGTGCTCTGCCCCCCTCATCGCTGAGGGACCCAGGACTGGGTAGAAGGGTTCCTTCCTTCCGTGCCCTCGTCAGCCCCAGGTTGGGGGTGGAGCAGAGGCTGAGAGAGCTTCAAAGGATGAATCAAAGGTCCCGGCCACACCTCCAAGAGGGAAAGATGGAGGAAATTCCCCGCATGCAAAGGAGGCTAACCATAGACACCCAGACTGCTGCACCGCCCCACCTGCCCCTCTGGGACTGTCCTCCCAGCCTCCCTCTCGTCTGACAGAGCCCAGCTGGTGGTGAGAGGTCTAGGGTGAGGACCAGGCTGGACGGCCCGGCCTCCAGCCCTCCCACCACTGAGCTCCAGCCCAGCCTTCGCCCCCTTCCCAGTCTTTCTGGATCCAGTGTTTCTCTCTGGGGTCTAAACTAGAACAAAGGTCCTGTGGGTCTGCAGGACTCAGCGGCAGACTTGCTCGGTGTTTTGCCTGGATTTGGGCAGGTGACCTTGGGGACCGAGCGGGTCCTGTGCCAAGCTGCCCCGAAGTCCCTTTGGGGATGGAAAGACCCTGTTCCTCCATCTCCCCAGGGCCCAGTGCGGTGTCCGACGTGAAGCTTGCGCTCCGTCCAGGCTTGGTTGGCGGCTCGCGCGTTTGTTTGGACAGCACCTCACTCTAGCCCAGGCGGGCCTCGCACTGGTTATTTTTGTTCCTAGCAGGACAACGGCAGCTCTGTCAAGGTGGCGTGCAGTGGCTCAGTCCTGGGCAGCGCGAGCACCCTGCACCTGGAATTCTTGACATGTGTGTGGATCTCCCGATCCTGCCAGGGTTGCGCCAGTGTCCCCAGTGCAGCACCTAACAGCAACAGAGCTCCCCTCTTGGGCAGGTTAGGCCGGAAAGCTGGGACAATGCAAACGCCATCTCCCTTTCCCAGCCCTTCTGGGCATGGCTGATTCCCCTGCCAGCTGGGAGCACCGGTCCAGGAAGTCCTCAGGAGCTGAACCACAGGCCAACATCTGACCTGGAACTTTGGCAAGCGGCCCCTGCCAACAACAGTAAAGCACCACGCCGTCCTCTGGGTGGGGAAACTCTCCCTGGGCCCCATCTACATAAGATGGCTTTTTTTTGTTTTGTTTTTTTCACTTGTTTTTTGAGACAAATTCTCTCTATGTCACCCAGTCTGGCTATTGGCCTTGAAATTGCAGCGATCCTCCTGCTTCAGCCTCCTGAGTACTGGGATCACAGGTGTGCACCACCACACCAGGCTTATACGAGACAGATTTGCTGTGGAACTCTTGATTCCCCCCAAATTCAGCATTCCTAGAGGAATCTCTGTGAGTAATGCCCACTTGCTTTTTTGTTTGTTTGTTTTTTGGTAAGGTTCAAAGTCAGGCCCTTGAGCTTGCAAGGCAGGTGCCAAAACCACTGAGCTAAATCCTTGGCCCTGCTTGCTTGCTTTTTGTGTGTGCATTTTTTGATTTGTCTTGTTTTTGTGGATTGAACCCAGAGCCTTCACACTGAACTACATCCTCAGCCCTTTTTAAATTTTATATTTTGAGACTGGGCCCTACTAAGTCACTAAATTGTCCAGATTGGGTTCAAACTCACAATCCTCTTGCCTCAGCTTCCGAGTGCTGGGATTACAGGTGTGCACCACCATGGCGAGTTTATTTGCTTTTGTTTCTGTCTTATATGTATGGGGGGGGTGAAGGCAAATTAGAGGGAAAATTCTGGGGTCTCTGCTGGCCCCAGAGTTCACAGAGAGCTGCCACTGGACACTGAAATCTGTGAGTATCCTGGGCTCTTTCACTTTTGCAAACGAGAATGGTTGGTGGCGGTGGCCTTGGGCAGGAAGGAGCAGGGCTGGGGTGGCCAGGCTGTCCCGCGGCACATGTATATTTATGTTTTAGGACCTGGCTCTGTGCTCACTCCTGTGTGTCTGCCTCCATATTAGAGCGACAGAGCAGCTGCACAGAGAGGCTCCCGCTTCTAGAAAGGCTGGGGCTGGGTGTGGCCCGACAGATGGCTAGCAGGTTCCAGGTGTGTCTGGCTGAGAAAGGTCCCAGGCCTCCTCCTTCTGATTGGCTGCCAGTGAGTCACAGCGGTTGGGCTCCTGAAGCAGAGTTAATTGGTTCTCATGGAGTCCGGGGTCATGGCCTGCCTTATCTTTAGGGCCTTCTCCTGCCAGTCCAGACGAACAATGTTCCCTGTACTGGCAGTGACGCTCTCGGGCTGCCGACTGCGAGTCAGTGGGACGGGCCCTTGGGGTAGCTTTCCCAGCAGTCTGTGGGTGCCCTTTGACCTCACCACACCCTGACTCCTTGGCCCTCCAGGGCCTGATGGAGGCATAAGGGGTGTGATGGGGGGTGGTCTTAGTTGGCTGTGACCTGGAAAAGCCAGAAAGGGGTTTCCTCAGTTCCAGAAGACCTGCCCAAACTGAACTGACGGGCAACATCAAAGTGTTTGTGGGTAAACATTCTAGAAACTTCCTCCAGGTCCTGGGAAAGGTTTCCAGGGAGATGGGCATGTTGTCATGGTAACTTAGGGGTCTTCTGAGAGTCCAGCAGAGGGCAGGAAAAAGGCTCCTGGGAGGCGTCCTGAACTTGCTTTTCAGACCCAGGGATCCCTGGCCATGTAGGTAAAGGGGAGGGTTCTACCTCCCAGCCTCAAATCACCTGTAGGCCCTGAGCAACTCACTTTTCCCGGGCCTGTGTGGGTGGAGCTGTGTGCCCTACCCCAGATACTCACCTGGGTTTGTGATGAGCGAATGCAGCCAGCCTTGAGGGAGCTGCTACTGCCAAGGTCACTGGCAGAGACAGGCAGACAGCAGGAGAACACAACTGCTCCAAGAAGCTCAACAGCCGTGAGAATCACCCGGGAAGGAGCACACCAGACAAGCTGGAAAATGAAACAGACCTTTATGAGTCTGGCCAGACGGCACTCCTGGAGCCGAGTAGCTCGGAGAGGTGCTAGCTCAGGGACTGAGGTCTTCTTATAAGGGGATACAGGGGGAGCTAACATTCAAAGCTGGCAGTCAGGTGGCGAAGGTCAATGGTCTGCTGATTCACACTGGTGGCAGCTGTCACGTATTCAGCAGCCACACGTTGATGGTTAACAGATGCCTACAAGATGTTCTAAGACTCCTGGAGCCGAGTAGCTCGGAGAGGTGCTAGCTCAGGGACTGAGGTCTTCTTATAAGGGGATACAGGGGGAGCTAACATTCAAAGCTGGCAGTCAGGTGGCGAAGGTCAATGGTCTGCTGATTCACACTGGTGGCAGCTGTCACGTATTCAGCAGCCACACGTTGATGGTTAACAGATGCCTACAAGATGTTCTAAGATCTCATAAAACCACAGTCTCTGGGCCATTAGCTGGCCCACACGGAGCCACTTTAGCTCAGTCAGGTCTCAAGCCCTCCTCCTGCCTGTCCCATGAAGCCCCTGCCCCCAGTCCTGGGTAGCGACCTCAGCTACCTGGAGGGGTACCTCGATGACCTGGGCCAGGGCTGAGGCTTCTGAGCCTCTCCCAGGCTTCCGTAGACAACCGGGTATCTCCCTCCCCTCCATGTCTGTCCACCTGCATACACAGTGTGTGTGCATGGGCGGTTGGGGGCAGTTATGCTATGGAGGCCTGGTCCAGCTCCCAGGGCTGCCAGACGCCTGTCGGCATCCTGGCCTCCTGGCTCCTGCTCGCCCAGTCCAGCACAGATGCCATCCAGGGTGCCTGGGCAGAGTGCCAGGGGGGATTTTCCATCTGCCTGCCTTTTTGTCTGTTCTGTGGCCTGGAGCCTGGGGCTGAGCCTGGTTAGGGGGAGGGCCCTTTGAGTGTCTGGAGGGGAGCTCTGTGGAGTTCTGGGACACCTTGAACAGGATCTGCCAGGCCTGTGCCTTGTTATTCCAAGGCCTCTGTTTTTTCCTGGGGGCAGAGCAGAAACTGGTGGGGATATGGGAACACTGGGTACTGGGCTGGTGAAGCCCACTTGGTAACCACTGAGTGCCAGGGTTAGAGGGGGAGTCTTGGTGCATCCGAGCCTGCCTTGTGCAAATGAATGTATGGGGGCACCAAGCAGGGCCAGCAGAGGTGGCAGCCAAGCCCGCACTCAAAGTCGACCCACGGCCCGGGGTCTTCCCTAGAGCCTCCCCCTCCCCCAGCCACTGCTCTCCAAGCTGAATCAGATGTAGGCACGGAAAGGTGTGATACCTATCCACACCTATCCTATGGGTCATAGCCAACACTCCTCTGATAAGACAGCTAACAAGAGCCAGACATAATAACGTTTTTTTAGGGGTTGGGGATTTGGTTCAGTGATTCCGCCGCCTGCCTCAAAAGCACAAGACCCTGAGTTCAATCCCCAGTACCAATAATAATTAATAATAACAATAATAATAATATTTTTAAAGATACAGTCTATGTAGCTCAGGCTGGCCTCCAATTTGAGCTCCTCCTGCCTCGGCCTCCCAAATGTAAAGCATAACAACTTTATTTAATGTTCAGCCAGATGTCGCGGCTCATGCCAGTAATCCCCATACTCAGGAGGCTGAGGCAGAAGGATTGCCATGAGTTCAAGGCCAGCCTGAACTGCATAGGGAGACCCAGTCTCAAAAATAAATAAATTAATTAATTAATAAAATAAAGACGCAAAGACCCAAGGAAGATTTTGTTTTTGCTTAAATTCCACAGAGAATGGACAACTCTGTAAAAATGTGATCAAACAGAGGGAATGCTCTAATGCTAACAGGCTGAGGGGACCCAGCAAGGCCTGTCTGTTCAGATTCCTCTTGGCCTCTGTGTGGCCTTCCTTTCTCCCAGGCATGGGGCGGGATTCCTTGGAATGAGGGTCTTTAAAACAGACAGGAGTTCTAGTTCCTATAATGGCCTTGGGGAAAAGAAGTCCTGGTTTTTATAACTCACTTTGGGGGAGGAACGTTGAGGTAGGAGACAGAAGGGCAAAGAGGGTCAGAGACCTTGCGTGGGAGGCCTTCCAGGCCCCGCTAGTTTGAACCATAATGGGGCCAACAACCATGCTTTGGGGTACATGTTCTGAGCTCCAGCCCCGAGCTGCTGGCCTGCCAACCCCCTCTGCTCTCACCCATCCCTCTCCCTTCTCAGCACAAGGCAGGGGCCCAGCCTGCCCACCACACCTCCTCTGGAGGCCCTGCCACCTCCAGTGTGACCTTGCCCTAGGGCTGGCTGAGCCCTGCTGAGTGGCCTCAGGCCCAGGGCGGGACTGCGTATCGCCACAGCTGGAAGTGAGGACCCAGGAGGCCACTGTTGACCACGGGAGGCTGGAAGCCAGGGAGGATACTGGGGGCAGACAGCTGAGGGCTGAGCCTAGGGCAGGACGACGACCCGCCAAACCCTTCACTTTGCTAGGTAGCGCCAGGTCCTGGACCCCCCTTTCTGCCCCCTGCGAGGTGGCAGTGACCAGGTGTCTCTGGTGCATCTGCTCCCTCCCGACTAAACACCAGGGTAGGCTGGGGAGAGCCAGGGCGGGGCTGAACGGGAGGGGAGCCGTGAGTCAGTCCCTGTGCCGACGGGAGTGGAGAGCAGAGAAGGGACAGATCAGGGCCACTGTGGGGCTGACTCAGGCCCCACACGCCCCTCCCCCTGAGATGGCCATTTGGAAATCCCTCCCCCACCCTTCTTGTTTTGCTGCCCAGAGGATGAACGACTTATCTAGAGAGCTACACAGCAAGTGAGTGGTCTTCGGTCTCCTGAACTGGATGTGGGTTCAAATCCCAGAGCCGGGAACAGAACTTCTAGAGGGCTCGCCCTGCTCCGTGGGAAAGGCTGGAGAGAGCCGTAACCGCCTGCCCTGCTAGGACCGGCCAGGTGCCCCGGCTTTCCGGGGGTGAGGGCTGCGGCCCCTCGGCCTCCCGGAAGTCGGGTGGGCGTGGCCGGCCCTGGAAGCCCTGCCCAGTGGCGTGACGTCACCAGGCCGGCCACGAGGGCTCCACCCTGGAGGGGAGGTGCCCGGAGCAGCTGTGGGTCTGGCCTCCGCACCGTACGATCCGGAGACTTATCTAGAGAGCTACACAGCAAGTGAGTGGTCTTCGGTCTCCTGAACTGGATGTGGGTTCAAATCCCAGAGCCGGGAACAGAACTTCTAGAGGGCTCGCCCTGCTCCGTGGGAAAGGCTGGAGAGAGCCGTAACCGCCTGCCCTGCTAGGACCGGCCAGGTGCCCCGGCTTTCCGGGGGTGAGGGCTGCGGCCCCTCGGCCTCCCGGAAGTCGGGTGGGCGTGGCCGGCCCTGGAAGCCCTGCCCAGTGGCGTGACGTCACCAGGCCGGCCACGAGGGCTCCACCCTGGAGGGGAGGTGCCCGGAGCAGCTGTGGGTCTGGCCTCCGCACCGTACGATCCGGTAGGCGAACAGGCTGCGGCGGTGACCGAAACTTCGCGTGCTCCGCTGCCCATTATCCACCGCCCAGGAAACCGGGATCCCTGGAGCGCCTGCCCGGGGCGATTGAGTCAGCCCCCCTCACGGCTGAGTTATGAATAACATAAAGCCAGGCCTCCTCTGACCGCACGTAGTACTGTGGTGAAGAGGATGGAATTTGGAGCATTCCGAGTATCGGGTCATCCTAGCGTCCTGCCAGCAGATCTCAGCTTGTCACCACGCAGCGGTGAGAGCCAGGCACGTCCCAGACCTGGCTGCAAATTGGGGATAAGAATACCGACCTCGAAGGATTGCTATGATGATTAAACGAACAATGCCTGGGAGGCAACCATATGAGCTTGAAAAAACTTTTTTCTTTTGTTGCTTTTTTGGTTCTGGGGATCAAACCCAGGGCTCTTAGAAGGTGCTCTGTGTGACACCCGGAGCCCCCTAGGCTCAGTTTCTTTCTTTCTTTCGGTTTTGTGAGACAGGATCTCGCCACATGATTCAGACTGGTCTTGAACTTACTATGTAGCCTAGGCTGTCCTTGAACTTGCAGTGATCCTCCTGCTTCAGCTTCCAGAGTGCACCACCATGCCCGGCAGGTTCAACTTTTATGAAATAAAATACACATATTACAGGAGAGAACTCTAATATATACAGTGATAAACCAGGCATGGCATGGCAGTGTGTGTGTGTGTGTGTGTGTGTGTGTGTGTGTGTGTGTTTGTGTAATCCCAGCTACCTGAGGCAATTTAGCAAAATTCTGCCTCAAAAAAAAAAATTTAAAAAGGTTTACTCTAAAAATATTTATTTTATTTACAGAAGTAAAATAAAGCCCTGGAGTTAAAAGCTCAGTGGTTAAGTGCCTCAGGGTTCAATCTCTAGAACTGCAAAATAAATTAAACCAAAAATGATTAAATTCTAAACCTTGCTTTTGTATCACAGCAGAGTAGTGTAGAGTCCTTCTTGGCTGTCCTTTATTCAAGGAGTTTTTTGAAAGCCAGTGGGGAAGCGCCCTGCAGACCAGAAGGCTCCTGGAGGTGAGTTGAGGCTGCTCTTCAGGAAACGGGGCTGGGAAGGGATCCGACCAAGAAGAAAGTGTTAGCCCATTACTCCAAAACCCAGGGCTTCCTTTTCTCTTTTTTTCCTGATTAGAACTCTTTGCTATTCGCCCTAAGCCTCTTCTTTTTTGCGGGGGTTGTTTTTTTGTTTTGTTTTGTTTTGTTTGGTCTTTTGAGACAGGCTTGTCTGACCTGGAACTCACTATGTAGCTCAGGCTGGTCTTGAACTCACAGCAATCCTCCTGCCTCAGCCTCCCGAGTGCTGGGATTACTGAAATTACAGGCGTGCACCACCATGCCTGGCCCTAAACCTCTTCTTTATCAGTTAATTTCTACTCCAATTCAGGCTTTATTCCTCCCGGGAAGCCAGCCCAGCCAGCCCAGCATCGTCCTCAGGGCAGAGTAAGGATCATCCTGTGTGCTCCCTTAGGACATTGCCCCCACCTGTTTTTTGGGGTTTGGGGTTTTTTTTTTTTTTTACTTATTTATTTTGGCACCAGGGATCAAATTTGGCTCCTTGTTTGTTTGTTTTGTTTTTTGAGACAGGGTCTCATTATGTAGTTGAGACTGACCTGGAACTCACTATGTAGCCCAGGCTAGTCTTGAACTCACAGCAATCCTCCTGCCTCAGCCTCCAGAGTGCTGGAATTACAGGTGTGCGCCACCACGCCTGGCTAAACTCGGGTTCTTGGGCTTGTGAGGCTCTTTTTCTTATTTTGCAACAGGGTCTCCCTAAGGTAAATTGCCCAGGCTGTGCTCAAACTTGTGATCCTGCCTCAGCCTCCCAGAGTGCTAAGATTACAGACAGAAAACACACCTAGCTCCTCTTTGGAGCAGGGGTACTGGGGATTAAATACAGGGTTCCTACATGCTAGGAAGTCACTCTACCACTGAGTGACACCCCCAGCCTGAAAGATAAATTTATAGTCATCCTCTGCCTGAGAACCTGGGACCAGATGCCCAGTCCCTCCAGCCAGAGGCTTCTTAGTTTTCTTGTTTCTGTCCTTCTGTCATCCCTTGTCCCTCTTTGAACTGTGGGATGTTGACCAGAGCCTGGGCTATAGAGCAGATGGGCAGGGTTGAGCCACAATACAGAAACCAAGGAGAGGGATGAGGTCTGCCTTCCCCTGACATTGAGGGCTCCTGGGCCTAAAGGGAAAGGAACCAAAGACAGTTCAGACAGCACACACAAGTGTGAGCAATGTCATTCCACACCCCAGCACTCTGGGAAGCTGCGAACCCTCCAGACTTAAAACATGAGAAACAATAGAGGAACAGGCCATCTATAGCAAATTGTAGACCTATTTCTGTGAGGGTCAGGCTGAAAGCTTGCTATGCATGCTGGGTAGGCACATAAGGGGCCCAGATCCCTCCCTTCCTGATCTTAGCCACTCCAGGGCGCACCCCCTCTTCTTCACAATGACAACAGTACCCTCTGAAATGGCAGGAGTCCCCAGACGGACAGTGTGCTAGCCAGGGAGGACACAAGCAGACTGTCCCAGTCCACTGGGGCGCGAGGAGGAGCTAAAGGGTGGAGCTGCTGGTTGGGAGATGGAGGCAGGTAGACTGGGAGGAGCGAGACGGGTGCTCAAGGCCAGCCTGGGCTATATAAGGAGGCCCTGTCTCAAACAAAACAAACAGAACAAAACAAAACAAAGCCTGCGATCACACATCCTCCGGGCCTCCTGGCTCAGGGCTGCACCCTGGGACACAGAGTGCCCTGGGCTTCTTCACGGCCCCCAGCCGTGACCAGTGCCATGGCAGCAGCGGCGCACAGTGCCATGGCAGCAGCGGCGCCCGCAGCAGTGATGGTGATGATGATGATGGTGGTGGTGGTGTGGTGGGGAACCATGGCAACCATCCATGAAAGGAGACTCATGGAAAAGGCTGGAAGAGACCCAGGGGAGGCCGCTGGCCAGCACCTTATTCCATTTATTCAGCCTTATAGAGGGCCAGGCACAGGCTAGGCCCTGGGGACACAGCAATGAAAAAACCAGTCCCAGCCCACAGGCTTCTGGAGGAGGCCAAGGAGCTGACCCATGCTGGCCGAGCCTTGCCGGGAAGCTGGGAAGAAGGGAAATCAGGACCCTGCAGGAGTCAAAGCAGGAACAAACCGGCCAGGGGGGGACCTGCAGGGACATGACCTTTGACCCAGGCCTGAGAAGGGCAGAGTTAGCCAAACCTAGAGTAGGAGGGGAGCAGCACTTCTGGCACAGAAGAAAGAAGCTCGCATGTTGGGGGGAGACAGAGGAGAGGAGTGTTTGTAGAACTTGAGTATTTTCATGTGCCTTTTTCGCCCTCTGAGACAAGGTTTTGCTATGCTGCCCAAACTGGGCTCAGACTTGCAATCCTGCCCCCTTATCCTCCCAAGCACCTGGGATTACAGGCCTGTGCTGCTATGTCTGGTTTAGTACACTTCCTCAGTTGTACAGCACTTGCCTAGTCCGTGCAAAGCCCTAGGTTCAGTCCCCTCAACTGCCAAAAAAGTTTCCAAAACTTTTGTGGGAACTTTGGAAATAAGGAAAAAAAAAAAAATCCCATGCCTGCATAATCTCAGATCTTCCTAGAGCATTATTAAACTGATGGCTGAGCGTGGTGATGCTTGCCCATGACCCCAGCACTCGGGAGGCTGAGGCAGGAGGATCACCTCTAGTTCTAGGCCAGCCTGGGATACCCAGCAAGACATTGTCTCACAAACAAACAAACACACTGACATATGAATTTGGATGCTTTATCAATTTCCAGTTGCTCTGTTTGATGTACTATTGACTGAGTAGATCATCTGAAGTCCTCTAATTGTTTTTTTTTTTTTTTTTTTGGTTTTTTGAGACAGGGTCTCACTATGTAGTTGAGACTGACCGGGAACTCACTATGTAGCCCAGGCTGGTCTTGAACTCATAGCGATCCTCCTGCCTCAGCCTCCTGAGTGAGGGATTAAAGGCGTGCGCTACCACGCCCGGCAATGGAGTTCTCTAAATTTAGATGCTGACTGATACGTGGAAGAAGCAAGTCTGGCCTCAAAATAAAGGGCCGTGATCTAAAGGAGCCAGAGCAGTTAAGGAAGCTGCTTATTGGTGGTTGGAGCTTGGAAACCACAGATAACAGTTTAAAAGAACATTTTGAGAAATGGCACACTCGGAGCGTATGTAGTATCGAGTTCCCAAAACAAAACACTCTGGGGGTGTTAGTTTCATGACTCATCTCGCACACAAACTGATGGATGTGTCGTGGAACCAAAGACAACTGTTTCGAGAGAGGATTCTGCAAAATCTGGTGCCCATCCAACAGTGTGGTATTAAAGAGGACACAGAAGAATATAATTTGAGGGACTACTTTCAACAGTGCTAGAAGATTGAAACCATAGAAACCACAGAAGACAGGCAGAGTGGGAAAAAGAGAGGAATGCTTTTGTAGCTTTTTTTTTTTTTTTGTATCGGGGATTGAACTCGGGACCTTGTGTTAAACTCTCGGGACCTTGTTTATGAGGCAGGTGGGGGAAATACTGAGCTAAATCCCCAGCCCTGTAGTTTTTAATGATCATGATATGGTTGATAGAATCACTAAGAAACAACAGTAGTTAGTAATGCACATAATTATGAAGTGACACCCCCCCTTTTTTTTTTACACAAGATCTTGCTATGCAGTTCAGGCTGGCCTTGAACTCACTATATAGCCCAGGCTTACCTCACATGTGTGGCAATCCTCCTGCCTCAGACTCAAGAGTGCTGGGAGTACAGGCACCACACCTGGCAGAGAAGATTTTTAAAACAGAGTCCTTAGCAGGAGAGAGGGTGAGGAGAGTCAGGAAAGCTGCAGGTTTCTTTGAAATGGGTCCCAAATGCTTTAGAAGAACTGTAAAAATCTGTCACAGGAGGAAGGATGGTCCACAGGTAGGGAAGTTACAATGGCTTAAACAGGAAACCTTGATTCAGCTGTCAGAGGCACAGTTTGATGAATGCAACATAGTGTCGATTAGATGCAGCTTCCCAAGGTCTTCTGTCCATTGCAGCTTTGTCTTTCTCTTTTCACTGCATCAGAGACACTGCCCGCAAACTGTAGGAGAGGTAGCAAGAATAAGAAATTAAGGCACTTTTTAACTTTTCAATATTTGTAGTTCAGTTTTTCTACATTTTAATAGAGAAACTTAAACGAAATGTGGTTGTGAAGGTGTTTCCTTCTGAGTTAACAAGTAAAGAAAAAATCATTGTTAATTAGCTATTTTGTATGAACGTTGTATCATTAACTGTAAAGAAACGCCCACGGACTTGCAGATTCAGGGGAATGAATCTCTTCTCATTTCAAACTGTGATGTGAATAGCACTAACGTGTGAAGGGAACGGATATGTGTATGTTTGCAATGTGTGTTTTAGGTAAAAAGGACTGGTTATTTAAATTAGCATAATTCAGCCAGGTGCGGTGGCACCTGCTTGTAATCCCTGTACTTGGAGGCTGAGGCAGGAGGATTGCCATGAGCCAGCCTGGGCTACACAGTGAGTTCAAGGCCAGCCCAAACGACAGAGTGAGACTCTGTGTCTAAATAACTAAATAAACAAGCATTACGATTAGCTTCAAATGACAAATCTCAAAATTTAAAAAAAATACTAGATGTTAACTTATAGGAAATTGGCAAGTTGCAAATAATTTTTACCTGGTTAAAAAGACGATGTAGGGCTGGCGATTTAGCTCAGTGGTTCCGCTGCCTGCCGCGCATGCTCAAAGTCCAGAATTCGATCCCCGGTACCAAAACAAACAAACAAGTGGATGTCAACCCCAACTGGCAACCGGGCACCATGGAGATGGAGGCCTGGAACGAAGCCCTGAAGTCTTCAGGAGCCTTCCCTTCCCTCGGGCTTCTGCCCTGCCCACAGCCGAAGGTGTCAAGTCACCGAATGCAGTGAATGCAGCCAGCCAGGGGCTCTCAAAGCAGGGGCTGCAGCAGGGGTCAGGCCAGATGAATGGCACAGCGGGTGGCACTGCTGTGACTGCCCAGGCAAGGGGCAAGAACGCGGGCTGCCTACAGGGGGCGCTGCGGGGTCCCTTCCTTTGCCCAGTTGCGTGGAAGGTGTGCAGAAGGTGAGGAGGGTGCCCTCGCGGGGAAGCGGATCCTTTTCACCCGGGTGCAGTCAGGAGGCAGCTCTCTCTGTGCCACAGGACCTCAGAATGTGGGGACCTATAATCAGCCTCTTCCTTCCTCTAACCCGGCAGTAGGTGAACACGCTTGGGAGGCGTCCTGTGACTCAGTGTCCCTTTACGTCACTGCTCTGGGCCCTGCGCATCAGCACAGCCCTCTGGACCCACAGCCCGGACTGCTGTGTAACCTCGCCATGCTGTGTCTGCAGAACGCGGCTCTCCTCGACCTGAGACGGGGTGTGCAGGTGGGAAGCCTTTATTCTGCAGAGAATGAAAGAACCATGTACAATTAAATAGGGGCAGGGCTGTGGCTCAATGGCACAGTGCCTGCCTGGCAAGTGTAAGGCTGTGAGTTCGATTCCCAGTGCAAAAAAAAAAAAAAAGCCAAAAGTTTCTATTGTCTTAGAGATTTTGCTGCCAACATGCAATCCTACTCTAGCATTCTTTTCTCCACTTAACTATATCTATGGCTCTGTTGAGCTGGCTTCATACTTGTTGATGAACTAAGTAAGGCTCTGGGGGCGGGGTAGCTCAGCGTAGAGTTCGTGCCTAGCCTGTGTCAGGACTCGAGTTCCATCCCCAGAAATGAGAATTGGGGAGACAGAGACAGAGATACGGATATGCATTTACCATTTAACTTTGTAGAATTACACTTTCACAGGATGTATACAAGCTCACCAGGTAAGGAGGGCTGTGCAGGGGACAGAAGCCAGGCAAGTGGCACACACTGTAAATCCAGCTACCCAAGACGCTGAGACAGGAAGACTGCAAGTTTGAAGTAGCCCAGACAACTTCATGAGTTCCTATCTCAAAACAAGTAAAAAGGGCTCTGGGAACGGTGGGGATGTGTCTCAGAACTAGAGTACTATGCCAGTATATTGGGAGGATCAGAGTTGAAACCCCAGTACCAAAAAAAAGTGTGGGGGGGTATATGCTTAATTTTATAAAATATTAACACTCTGTCCTATAGTTTCTCACAAACATGCCCTTACCATACAACCTAGCAGTGCCTTTCCCAATACCTACGAAAGAGAAATGAATACAGATGCCCACACAAACACCTGTGTAGGGATTTCACGGCAGCATTGGGCTGTCCACCAAGAGTGGAGGATAAAATATTATGGTATGTCCCACAGTAGAGCATTGCTAAGCAACAGCGAGGAATAAGCGACTGGAATAGGAGCCGTCTTCGGCTCTCAGGAGCATCACCTTGGGTACAAGCAGCCACAGGAGAAGGAGTCCTGACTGCACAACTCAGCGGGGACAGGAGAAGACCTGGGGCTGTGTGGGGGTAGAAGAGCAACTGCAAAGGGGCTCGAGGGGCATTTGGGAAGCAGTGAAGTGCTCCTGGAGCAAGCACAGGGCTGCAGGCTGGTGGCACAGCTCATTGCCATGCACGTCTCGAATGAGTGACTTTATGCATGGGAACCACATCGCAGGGAAGCTGAGAGAGGGAGAAAGAGGAGGAAGGAGGAAACTTGGAAACACAGAGGAGAAGGGGGCAGAGGGAAAGGGCTCCAGGTCAGGGAACCCACAGATGGGAGGGTGACGAGCAGGAAAAGATGACCGTTCTCCCTCTCTCCAGCTCTGTCTCTCTTTTGGTTTTTTGAGACAAGGTCCATGTTATGTAGTTCAGGTTGGCCTCGAACGTGTGGCAATCTTCCTGTCTCAGCCTCCTGAGTGCTGGGATTACAGGTGTGCAGTATCACACCCGACCAGGTACTGGTTCTCGCGGCCCCAGCAGAGAGGTGGGAGGAAGCTCTGTGTCTCTCAGCGTCCAAACCTCCTATCTCCCACCTTCTGGTTCACAGAGAACAGCAGACAGGCCCGAGTGCGGACTTCTCTTCTCCTCTCTGCTGTCCACTGCTATGGGCAGCTCCTGTAAGCTTTGCAGGTCTGGGCTCTTCCTACAGAAATAAGGCTCTTGACCCTTTCCCTGAGTCTGCTCACAAGGCTGCTGTGGAGCTGAAATCCGAAAGTGCAGTCACACCTGTAATCCCACCACTCAGAAGGCTGAGGCAGGAGGATCGCCACAAGGTAGAAGCCAGCCTGGGCTACATAGTGAGTTTAAGACCAGCTTGAAAGACACAGCAAGAGCCTGTCTCACAAAAATTTAAAAATAATAAATAAGTAAAAGTTAACTTTTAAATTTTGAGGTAGGGTCTTGTGAAGTCACTGGGTGGCCCGGGCTGGGGCTGGAATTTGTGATTTTGTGGCTTTTACCCCCCCCCCTTGTTGAAATATGGGACCACACTCAGCTACCGGCTAATGTTTATTGGGCATTCACTGTGGGACAAGCCCTGTGCTTGCTTATGTATTTATTTGAGATAGGGTCTTGCTCTGTAGTCCAAGCTGGATTTGACCTCTCGATCCTCCTGCCTCAGCCTCTTGAGTGCTGGAATTACAGTTGTGCGCCACCACGCCCTTGGTATTCTACATGTTTTCTGTGTGGCTGGACGCCGTGTCGCACACCTGTAATCCAGCACGGGAGGCTGAAGCAGGAGGATCTCTGTGAGTTCGAGCCCGGCCTGGGCTACATAGTGAGTTCCAGGTCAGTCTCAACTACATAGTGAGACTCTGTCTCAAAAAACAAAAACAAAGTTTTCTAAACACTAACTCATTTAATTCTTCACCTCCCCATTTTACACAAGAGGTAACCAAGGATGAGATTATGAACTCACTCAAAGATGCACAATTTTGAGGAACAAAACCAGATTAAGGTCTCTCTCTCCCTCCCTTCCTCCCTCCCTTGCCCTGCTGGGGATCAAACCCAGGGCTTTGTGCCTGCCTGACAAGTGTTCTGCCCCTGAGCTGCTGCCTAGCCAGGGCCTATTCTGTGAACCACTGGTCTGGATATCAGTGGTTCTCAAACTCTTTTTGTCTCAGACCCCGTCATACTCCTAAAGCTCCTTGAAGATGCCAAAGATCTTTAATTCAAGTGAATTATAATAATTTCTGTCACATTAGATACTAAAGTTGAGAAATTTAAAAATGTCTACTAAATAATAGCCAGGCATGGTGGGTGGCCCATGCTAGTAATCCCAGCTACTGGGAAGGCTGAAGCCGGGGGATCACAAATTCAAGTCCAGACTGGGTGAATTAAAAAGACTATGTCTAAAAAAACAAAAAAAAAAACTTAAAGAATTGAGATGGGCCAGGGATTTAGGCCAGTGGCACTACCCTTGCCTTGCAAGCACAAGTTCCTGAGTTCCATCCCCAGTACCGCGAGGAGGGGGGGCATTGTTTGACATTTTTTGGAATATCTGGTTCAAAAAAAAAGACAGTCTCTTATCTGCCTCAGCATTCAATCTGTTGGATAGGTTGTTTTGGCTAAAATGTATTAATAACATCAAGCCTCACACAGAAATGTGGTTGAAAGAGTAAGGAGTTGTTTTAATAGCTGCTTTGGTAATACTATGAGTTTTCTTCAAAATGACCCCAAAACAGCAAAAGAAATTTCTAAGCAGCTATTTACAGTGTGGAATCCGGAACTAGACCAGCGACCTTTCTGTTCTCTGAAACCCTAAAAACATTACCCTACATTTCATTTTGCAGAAGACTTTTGGAGAGAGTGATGGATAGATATGTTATTCTGGTTGTGATGTTAATTTCTTGGAAGTGCAATATGTCAAAACTCCCCAGGTGCTCTTCATGTGTGGTACTTACTGAGTGTCAGTTATTACTCAATAAAGCTGCACTGTTTCATTTTTGTGGAAATGAGGATTGAACCTTCAGCCTTGCATATGTTAGGCAAGTGCTTTACTATTGAACTACATTCCCAGCCTTTTTTTTTTAAATTCACTTATTTTAAAACATTTTATTAGTATACATTTGCTTACATAATTATTACATTCGTGGTGGGGAGTTGATACTTGTACATAACACACCTTAATTCTTTTTATTCCCTTGTCTCCCCAACCCTTTTAAATTTTTGAGGAACGGAGGGCTGGGGATGTAGCTCAGTGGTTCCATTACCTGCCTCGCAAGCACAGGCCCTGAGTTCGATCCCCAGTACCAAAAAAAAAAAAATTTTTTTTGAGACACAGTCTTGCCAAGTTGCTAAATAATCCAAACTGAGCTTGAGCTTTTCATCCTCCTGTCTCAGCCTCCAAGAGTTCTGGAATTACAGGAATGCACACCACACCTGGCTAGAAAGCCAGTTTTTTTTGGTTTGGTTTAGTTTGGTTTTTTGAGACTGGGATTACAGGAGTGCGCCACCATGCCCAGCTGACAGTTTTTTTGTTTTGTTTTGTTTGATACTGGGGATTGAACTCCCGACCTTGCTTTTATGAGACAGGCATGGCACCACTGAGCTAAATCCCCATTTAGAAATCCATTTTAGAAATAACTCTATAGGAAAGGGTGGAGGGGGTGGAGGGAGGGCAGGGGTATGGGGAAAAAATGAGAACCGAGATCCGTCATGTAAAGGTACAAGATCCCATTGATGAATGTAAAGGTACTGTGTATTTAAAAAGTACCAATAAACTCAATAAGCCAGGCATGGTGGCACACGCCTGTAATCCCAGCACTCGGGAGGCTGAGACAGGAGGATCCTATGAGTTCAAGACCAGTCTGAACTACATAGGGAGTTCCAGGTCAGTCTCAAATACATAGTGAGACCCTGTCTCAAAAAAACAACAACAAAAAAGCAAACAAACTCAATAAGATAAAAAGAAAAAGAAAGAACTCTGAGAGCCAGGCACAGTAGTGCACCACTATAATCCCAGCACTTGGGAGTCTGAGGCAGGAGAAATGCCGTGTGTTCAAGGTCAGCCTGGGCTACATTGTGAATTTAAATCCAGCCTGAACTGCATAATGACACACTGTCTCAAAAACAAAAACCAAAAACCCAAACAAAATAGGACTTTTGTGCCAGGTGTGAGGACAAAGTCCTGTAGTCCCAGTACTCTGAGAAGCGGATGCATAAAGATCACAAATTTGGGTTCATCCCGGGCAGTTTAATGACATAGAAAGACCTATCTGATTGGTTGGGGATTTGGCTCAGTGGTTCCCAAGACCCCAAGTTCAATCCCTGATACCAAAAAAAAAAAGTGGAGAGAAAGACCTATCTTAAAATTTAGCTCAGCGAGTTCAATCCCTGGTACCAAAAAAAAAAAAAAAAATTAGCTGAGAATTTAGCTCAGTATGATGTCCCTGATTTTAATCCCTGTAAAGCAACAACAAACAAGAGTGAGTGTCTCCAAGATTTGGTGTCCAGACTGCAATGTGAGGAAGAGAAGATTCCCCAAGATGTGATTCCC